AATGTCAAGTTTACTGAAGTGCATAACATTGCTGTGGTCACTGTCAGGAAAGAAGCCCAGGCTTAGAAAACGGTGGGGAGTGACAAGCTCCCAAAGACGGGATCTCAGCAAGCGGCAGGTCAGCTGGCCACCACAGTGTGGATGACAGTAAACAACGTGACCCAATGGACCAGAGAAAGCAGTTTCTTACCAACAGCTCGGCAAACAGCAGACACATCAGCACAGGGGCGCTGGCTCCCTGGCCCACATGCCCCGTGGTGCGACACAATGGGCTCAGGTGGCTGCTGTGCATGCAGTGGCTGCACTAAAGCTGAAGAGCCCGGAGCTAAGGCCTCAGCACCTTTGCAGCAATCAGTAAACAAACCTTTCCTTCTCCCCTGAGAGCAGGGGCAGGCAATCACCAAGTGGTCATGCTGTGGTCCTCATGTGGTCTGGCAGCAAAGGTTCTTAATTGACTGTGTGACTATAGAAATGACTCAGAGTCAAAAGATATTTACGCCTTGCATTTCAGCTCAGTAGGCAAGCATGTGCAGGGATGCGTGGTGGACTGCCTCTCCCAATAATTCACCTGTCGGCTGGACATATTCTGGCTGAATTCAATTTTCATGTATTTATATCATCCCATTAGCAATTTGGGTTAAACATACTGACAAGGGCTAGGAACAAATCCGTTCCATTTATTTCCAACAACACTTGATTAGGGTTATTATTCACAGAATCCCCATCCGCAGGACCAGATCAGAACGGCAGTGTTGACCTCAGCCACGCACTTCAGGATCCTAGACTAAAAAGAGTTAGTCCCAGAGAGGACCAATCGGTCTGAGCTCAGATAGCCATTGAGCTTCCTCTTTTATGGTATGCATGGATGTGCCACCATACCGTTGGTATTAATTAGAACCCAACAGGAGTGGTTGGCAACCATACCAACCAGAATGTAGTCCACGGCCAATCGATGGATCCACGTGTGAGCAGGGAGATTAGCCTGAGCGATTGATCTCCTATGGCTTGTTCTGTCTCATTGGCTATGGTAGCTCAAGTTAAAGACAGGTTTGTGACCTGTCTCTCAAATGTGGACTCAGAGGCCAGGGAACAATACTCACACTGCCGTATGGAGACAAGAATCCATGTTTCCCTCAGGTAGAACAGCTCTCTTTTACCTGGAGGCCTAGCAAAAGGAATGTGACCCAAGGATTGGTATTACAGCCAATTATTGCAGGGGGGCAAAGATGTGTCAAACTGCTCAGCCTTGCGCGATAAGGAGATGTCCTGTGGCCCACTCTTCCCCACGTGAAACCATGTAACTGAAGGGGACAGGTTCGATTTGGGATTTGTGGATACGTTTAATTTGGATGAATACTACATTAACTTGGGTATTCCATATGGGCACTGTCACCAAATAGCTTTTGCCTTGAAAGCCATCCATGGTATAACCCCAGGGCACTCAGGTGTTAGGAAGAGCATAGGACCTGGTATGAGCCTGACTGTGCTTATACATGTACGAGGGACTTCACATTTAGGAGCCGCCTTTGATAATATCAGGCACGTAGAGTAACTCAGGGCCAGCCAAGCCCACATGAGTTTTTCTGATCCCATGCATATCGGCTGAAGTGATAAGCCCTGAAGTAGGTCAGGTTGGCAGTCAGAACTGATGCTCATCTCAGTGGAGCAGGTGATTATTTTACCAGGATGCAGGACTGGAGCTTAGAGAAAAAGATAAGAGTCCATCATTTCCCCCTCCCAGTACCTCCAAGGTCTAAAGTATTCCTTCCCCAACTGAAGTGGTTATTGGTGCCAGGGAGGCACCAATAGGTCTCCTTCCAAATTTGGCAGATTTTCTAATTAGCTTATTTGCTGCCTCAACAAAATGCATGCATAGATAAGGCACAGATTGTCGCAATGCCTGAATGTTGCAATGAAGTGCCAAGCTTCCTTTCTGGGAGTGGGAAGCCATCGCACAGGAAATATTTTCTTTACTGTCTTTAGGATCCACTTTTAAGTGGTTGCTCACATTCCTCCCAAAATTTTGAGTTGGGTGGTTAGTCTCTGAATCTTATCAGAATTAATGACCAATCCTGGGCCTTCGCATGAGTTAGCATCTGCTAATTTCATTGGGGCTTATTGACATAAAATCATCATCGTAGTAGGACCAAGTCACTTGCAAGAAGAGAGGGGCTAGTTCTGGGTTCTGACCTACTCATTGGTGACAAATCACAGGAGAAACTATTACTGTGGCCGCACAGTAAGCATGTTTAGGAAGCTGAGTCAGGGTAAGGATCTTGATTTTCAAGTGCCAAAGGGATGGAGAAAAAGACATGACCAAAGCCCAAGATGGCATTCCAGGTGCCATCGCGGGCAACTGATTCAGTTACGGTCACAATGTCTGGAACAGCCAGAACTGAAGAAGCAAAAACTGAATTCTGTTGGCAATGATCCTCCATCAGTCTCCAGACCCCGAGAGCTTTATTCATTGGCCACACAAGGCTATTCTACCAGAAGGGAACCTGAAGCTGAATTGTCATCTGTTGTGTCTGTGTCCCACCCTCACCTCTCTATAAGTAGCTCTTCCAGACTGGGCATGACTCCCATGGACATTATGAGCATTCACAGAACAAGCATGGAAATTATCAATACCAATTACATAGCCTTGGGAGCAGCAGAAGTGGTCATAACAGCCCCACTCAAATGTCACGGTCACTGCCTTCCCTAATTGACTCTGTTTCAAAGATGGCTAGTAAATGAGTGGTCCTCAACTCTCAAGAGAGCCTGGTACATTCGTCATCTGAGCACAGATATAAAAAAGACAAAGACGTTTATGCTTGCCCACTCTTTCTCCCCTACTCCATTTTGCCCTCCTTAAGGGGTAAGACCCTCTGAGATCTCTTGAGAATAAAGACACCTTAAAGGCTTCCCAATGCAGGACTGAGGTTCTGAGGGAGCCATTTGTTCTAAGGCAGCCACCTGGCTGTCTGGTTCCTGCATGAGAGAGAGTGACTCCACAAAGGCATCTGGATCTACAGAAGCATGCAGAGCTTGATCTGCTTGAACGACTAACTGCCTCCTTGGACCCAACAGAGCCTCATATCTGAGCTGCAAGTCTTTGGTGCTCATCGCCTCAGTCTCTACTTTGGGAACCTTGATTTTAATAGGCATATCCACAAAGCCTTGTGTTTTCCTGTCCTGGGCTTTGTCTTGGATTCCAGAGTCCCGGTTTAGGAAGTACTATCCTGGACATCTATGGCCCTAAATCAACACAGCTTCCAGCACAGGGCCTCACAACGAGAAAGATAGTGAAGTGGGACACCTTGGGGGGTAGGGGGCAATCTTAAAAACTTCATCAGCCATTTTCTAGATAAGAATCATGATCAGGCTGTCATTCCATCTAGGACCGATGTAGTTTAGAGCAACTTCAGCCCTCAGACTCTGAACAGCTTCTTCCATGGAATTTCATGGGATTTTACTATCCTCAAGAAAGTCTCTTTAGGTTAGCCATCATGGAGTCATTAAAATAGCGTTCCACAGTGGCAAACCTCATTGTGAAGAATGATGCTGTCCCAATTAAATACTATGCACAGTGGCTTAAATCATGGGGACTAATGTCAAACTTCCTTCACCCTCTAAGAGCATAATGTTCCTCACTCCTCTATCAGCCGTGTGTCTGTCAGTTCCTCAGTCTATTGATCAAAACACCCCTGGGCTTTCTTCCTTTCCCTCTCACTGTGGGGCTGCATCTCTCTACTCACTGTAGGGGCATATTGTCCTCTAGATGTTTTCAGTTTTGACTTGAGATGGGGTGCAATTGTACTTTCCTTGCTGGTGAGGCCCAGAGTGCTGCTCTCTTAGACCCCTAGTCCATGGGAGAGCAAGCAGCAACCAGACACTATTTGGGCAGCTGGTTAGAGCTTATCCTTCAGCCTCTATCCATCAACTCAATTTGTGTTTATCAGCAACTAGGACAGAGGTGGGCCCCTCACTCCTCTCTCTGCACCCTTGGGCCAGCAGAAGGTTTCTCATGGTAGTACCTTCCCTGCCCACACTCCCACAGGGTGATGTAGTAGAACCTCATGGTGGCTGCACACACAGAGGGTTGTGTAGAGCTCAGCTCTTCTGCAGCAAGCAGCAAACAAACCTCCCTGGGACTAAGCAGTCACACACTGGTCAATGCTGTGGTCACCTTGACCTACTTCATTACTTATGTGACAATTTACAGAAACTGTGCCCCGTGAGAGGGCAGGGAGGCTAGCTTCACAAGAGTAGTGGGGGTGGGGAAATCCCAGAACTTCAAACCAATTTCTTCAGAAAAAGATCCATTCATTTTGAGAATTGAGGGGAAAATAAAAATGTCTTTGTCCAGAAATAAAAACAAAACATGCTGCAATTTTCTTTTGAAATTTTGATCAAATCATGAATAGTGTGAGGATAAGGAGAGAAAAATAGGGTCAAGGACAGAGGGGTGAAAAGAGTTTGCATGAAAATATATATTTTAAGAGAATCCATCAAAAATATATCTTTGATGATTAGTATATAGTTCTTTTTTTAAAAAATATATTTTATTGATTTTCTACAGAGAGGAAGGGAGAGAGATAGAGAGTTAGAAACATCGATGAGAGAGAAACATCGATCAGCTGCCTCCTGCACATCTCCTACTGGGGATGTGCCCGCAACCCAGGTACATGCCCTTGACCGGAATCGAACCTGGGACCTTTCAGTCCGCAGGCCGACGCTCTATCCACTGAGCCAAACCGGTTTCGGCAAGTATATAGTTCTTATTCATTAGTGTATACAAATACAAAAACATACTCATAATGACCCAAGAGATTATGAATAATGACCCAAGAGATTATATAATATCTTGACATTTAAGAGAAACTCTGAGAGTTGCAGGAAAAAGTATACACGAAGACTCCCAATACAGTTCCGACACACAGAAGATGCCCAATAAATGTGTGCTATAACCCAATCTGAAATGCTCACTGTCTTTGTTTTTTCTTCTCTTTTTCTAGCTGGAAAATCTGGAAGTAGAAACAGCTCCATTGCCCTAACCGGGTCTTCCTGTCATTGAGACCCTCACTGAGCTTAGATGCCACCATCTTATGTGGAAGCAGGTCACTGCCCGAGTGTGTGGGAAGCTTTCATGTTCTAGGAATGTGTCTACTCTGAGTCATCAAAACTTATTCCTCTCTGGTCGCTTCACTCTGCATCATTAAAGAGACATCCCAACTAAGTCAAGCACTGGGAAGGAAAGAACGACTAATGAGTTCAGCCTGTATACATAATCACAAGGAAGATGCCCAATGGGACCATAACAGGCTACATTCTGTAAATTCAGGTCGTCATGGAAGATGAACTTTCTGTAGGTAATATTTTTTTCAAGCAAATATTTATGGCCTCATCAAAGAAAACCCACAGATTGTTTAATTCACCATAGTAACACGTGAAGTAAACGCTACCTCTGATCAAAGCACCTTGTGTGGACATCCAAGACTTTCTAGTCTTCTGTAAGACAATACTTTGCTCTGTTTTTGACCTTTAATGTTAACCTTAAAAGTATCTTCTGGATAAGACTTCATTTCTACCTTCGTTTCTTGGTTCTATATTTTAAAGAAAAACATCTCCATTATTGCCAGGGAAGAGATTAACATGAAAGGCAATCTGAAACCCAGTGATGTGTCAGCTGCAGATAGGTTGATTCTTGTGCATTGCAAGTGCTTCCTAAGCATTCAAAAGGGAATAGGGGTCAATGAGCTCGTCATTTTGTCATGCAGGAAGTCAAGCACTACAATGTACTCTTCATTTCTCAGTAGTTTCTCCACACAGCATGCTCCTTTTACATATAATTTTCTTTTGTTAACGCTGCTCAGAATACTTGTGCTTTTTGAATCAGAGTGATAAATTGACAGATGTTTTTGATGACTTTTAGAACAGCTTAAAATTTTCTAAAAATATGGATTCAATAAGCTTAATCTCAAAACAGATAGACTCATATGACCATAGAGAAAAATAGATCATCTATTTTTCAATCCTGTATTGTTACTTGGACATGAAATATTAACAATGACCCAAGAATACTTTCCTGAAGGTTGTGTTTATGTAATGTCTGCACCGACATGTTGGTCTTTCTGATCTTTGCTAAATGCCAAGATTTTCTTTGTAAAATGTCAGTCTTCTGAGTAGTTTCTCTAAGACAATTCTCTTTGGCTGGTATGAAACACCGCAGAGATTTGGCAATCACTCATTTTGTTTGATCTATATAGACCTTCAAGTCAGACGGCCCATGCCAGAAAGCTCTCCACTATGAATCTGTGTCTGCGTTTATTAAAGGAATCAAGTAGATGGTAGTTATCCATGAAGACACAAGTAGAAAACTAGGTGTCCGCTTCCCTGATAAGAGCATTCCGGAGCTGCCAGTAGCACCAGCTTTAAAATTGCATCTGCCTTCAATCTAACAAGGCACAGATATGCACCAGACATCCAAAGTGGATGTCTCAGGAAGACAGCTGTCATGGATCAGAATAACTGTATTTACTGTCTCAGATCTGATAGGCTGTAATTATGTGGACCCAACCCAAGTATCAACTGGACGAAGAAAAAACAAAAGCCAAGATAAGTGTTTTAATGTTTCCTTCTAATGAAGTCTTATATTTGCCTCTAATAACCTCCTCCATTTCTCAAATATTATGTCCCAGGATGTATATGCATTATTTTTTAATTTTTCACATTTTCTGATCAAAGTAAAACTAGGGCCTTAAAATAATTTAGATTGTTAAATAGATGTATGTGTGTATATATATTTATATATATGTACTACTAGGGCTTCCACAAGTAAAAGGAATATTTCAAATGAAACACAATAAGGGGAAATGTAATATTTGTATATAAGTCACTGGGGAGGAAAATTCATTTTTAATGAGCTATAATAGCATGAGCTCTCTCAAAATGATATAGTACTGCTTTCTGCTCATAAGGTTGTTTCTCAACAATCACTAGCTCAGCCTAATGACCAGCTCTCAAATTAAAAGCAAATAAGTATGTTTCAATCAAAACCACTTTTATCATAAATTTGCTAAAACTACCTTGCAATTCCCTGGCAAATAGGGAAGTAAAGTAGCAGCCTTGACTCAGTCAGATGGGCTCAAGTTTCTTATGAAATGTGAAAGCAAAGAAAATGCATTGTTCTGCTTTGTCCTTGTAGACGGGATCTCTTCCTAGTTCGGTGGCACAGCAATGCAGATTGTAGATGTGAAGTGGAAGTTCTGCTTCTTCATCTAATTACTCGCTGTGGAGATTTTAATCTCAAGTAGGCCCTGTTCTCGCCTTTAACCTCAGCCTTCATGGTTACTTTGCTCCTACAGCCTTCTCTCCCTGCCAGTCACTGTGAAGGAAAGAGAGAGATGAGACTCGGCTGGGGCAAGTGTCAGTCACTGGGTATTTGATCTCATTTTTGCTTTGTTTTTGTGTGTGTGGTATTTTTATTCAAATATATTTTTATTGATTTCAGAAGAAGGGAGAGAGAGAGAGAGAGAGAGAGAGAGAGAGAGAGAGAGAGAGAGAGAAACATCAATGATGGGAGAGAATCATCGATTGGCCACCTCCTGCATGCTCCCACACTGGGGATCAAGCCCGCAACCTTGGCATGTGCCCTGACTGGGAATTGAACCATGACTTCCTGGCTTATAGATCAATGCTCAACCACTGAACCATGATGGCTGGGTTCTCATTTTTGTTTTAAACCTTTAGTTGTAACAGTCTTGATCCATATTAACAATTTGATGATGTCAAATAAAAAGTTTGTGAAGAAGCTAAAAGTTTAAGCTTCCAAGTCATCTGCATCCATGTCTCAGCACACGTTGTGGCATTTTTTGGCTTTGTGACTTCTAGCAACATATGTAAGCTCTGTTAGCTCCAGTATCCTCTTAAAAACAGGGCCAATAATAACAAAACTATTGGGCTGTGGTCAGGACCAAGTGAGATAATGAATATAACAAGCTTGGCCTACTATCTAGCAAATGCTCTCTATTTACAGTGAAAATTAGAAATGAAAACTACCCATGTCAAAAAATAGAGATAAACTCGGTGAATTCTCATGGGAACCACCACTCTGATCGCCTGAGAGTGACCTGCCTCTTGAGAAGACAGGAAATGTCTCCACTAGAAACTCCACCTGTGATAGAATGGCCTTCCAACAGTGCCATCAAAAGAAGTCGGGCTCTTAATTTGGCCGTTGGAAACACTTCTCAACATTGAAATAGACAGTTGGCAGCTTTAAAAATAAACTCTTCCAAAAATTAGGTTTGCGTTGGTAACACGGTATTCACTTCCTTAGATAATGTGACATGTATTGCTAAAACTGACATCCATTCACTTGCAAATTTCATCATTGAAAAGGCACACTTAGTTCATTTAATATTACCTAAAAAGATGCTAACAGAATTCTCTTTTCAGTGTTCTCACAGTGTGCCCTTTTCATCTCAGGATCCAGGGAAAAGTTAAAATTTAGAAGCACAGACACAAAGCCTCGTCAAGATAAGTAACTGAGACACAAAGAAAAGATCCTTTCTGACCCCATTGGTCACAAAGTCCCAAAGCATTTAAAGCCCTTAAGTCAAGTATGTTTATTTGTTCAAAAGTAAAGTAAAACCCTTCCCATGTGCTTGGATTAAATGTTTCATTCAAAACGTGTTGTTTCTCCTATAACTAAGGTGAACAATTTGTACAGACATTCTCAGTCTGCCAGCAATCACCAAGATGAGGTGGCCCATGAGCAATTCTCCCGGCCTCAGCCGTAAATACTGCAGAAGCTGCTTTTACCTCTTGGGGTTCCCCAAACTTTTCAGCCTTCTCTCCAAAGAAAACTGAGAATAGGACTTCATAGTCTCAGCTTCTCAGCTTCTCTACTGGCCACACATGCCACTATTTATATGCAGCCAAAAGCATGGCCCCCTTCCGGGAAATAGCCGATAGGAAATGGGTGTCTCAAGGAATTCTTACTGCCATTGTAGACACATCAAGATCCTTAACAAAGATTCTCCACATCATTTTTTTTCTGACAGGACATACTGCTTGGGTTAGGAGAAGTAGGAAGAAATGTGGACCTACCTGGGTACCTTGGCCTTACCACTATATTTTCTCTGTGTAGGATACTTCAGGATTCATAGTCACAGAATATGGCATCCAGATTATATTTAAGACCATTGTTATTAGGACTTTAGGACCTGACGTGACGCGTCAAAGAGTTGAACTTTGGGATATCCATCCAAGAGCCAGTTGAATTGAATTAGAAATAATTTCAACTCACAGTCATTGTTTTCCAGTTATGTACATTACTGACTGTTTAAGAATTAAGCAAAACCAAATACTTAGTGGGCTGCAGTGTATGGCAAATATTCAAACTGGTGTCATGCAATTCTGTAACATTTCTTAAAGGGAGCAGCAAATGGGTCAAATTCAACTTAATTCCAACAATATTATTGTGTCCTAGGCACTTGGGTTACAATAAGGACCACTGACACTGAGATTTTAAGAACACTCAAAGTGGGTTAGGGTAGATTAAAAGTAAAGGTCTTGAAGGAATTAAATGGTGGCATCTTTTTAAAAAAGTGCTTCCTATTAACAAGGGACTTTTCAAATAAACATTTAATAGCTTCATATGCATTTTTAAATATATTTTTATTGATTTTAGAGAGAAGAGAAGGAACAGGGATAGAGAGAAACATCAACGAGAGAGAATCATTGATCGGCTGCCTCCTGCATGCCCCACACTGGGGATCGAGACTGCAACCCGGGCATATGCCCTGACTGGGAATCAAATCGTGACCTCCTGGTTCATAGGTCGACACTCAACCACTGAGCCACGCTGGTTGGGCTGCATATGCATTTTAAAGGAGTTTTAAGAGTTCAGAAGTCATTAAATGAATATATCTATCTCTTAAAGCATCTCTTGACTCAAATATATGAAGAGATGATTCTAGAGCCTGGGCGTATATTCAGAGAAAGATCAATTTTCTGGGGTTCTTCTCATCACACATTTAATACAAATTTAATGATATATTTTTTCAACTCACTTTGCATTTCCTATAAGGGATAGTAAGTAACTCCATTAAATTCTGCATTGAAATTGCACTTAAGCTTTACAAAATTACAGAGGACGTTGGGAGAGTTACTGTGCCTCTGGGCTTTGAGAGAGGTGCAGGCTTGCATTTCACAGCAAACCCACTTGGGAACCAATGCTTGGCTATGCCCATGACC